CCTTTCTCTCCAGAGATTATGAAATCAAAGCTCATTTTGTTACTTCTTGGAAATTCTTCTCCGTATGACTCGGAGACCACGTAATTCAACAGGGTTTCCATTATTATAATAATTAAAGTACTTGGTCTAGTGCCTGCCTCCTTCTTTACGAACTTTCATGCAGACTGAGAACAGAAGTGGTTACCTGCGCTCACTCTTGGAAGTGGTGAGCAGGTCGTGGGGACTCCAGCCCCCTCTCCCTCAAGCTTGGCGACAAGGCTCCTGCAAAATCTCGAAATCCCCAGGCTCTGTGCGGTCACGAAGGGAAGAAGCCGGGCTCTGAACAAGCCCAGGCAAGCCCAGGCGGAGTCCGCTTCTGGGTCCTCCCTCCTGCGCGCGCCACCCGGGGCGGGAGACTCGTCTCTACCCCCCAAGATCCGCGCAGTTGGCGGGCCCCAGACGCACAGGGCGCGGGCATTGCCTCCACCTGAAAAGGAAAAGAACCGAGGTGCGGAAAGGAGGGGAGAGTGGGGACAGTGCCAGCCTAAACCGGATTAGGGCAGGGGGCGCTGCAGGCGCTGGGTCACGTCGAGGGGGATGGGCTGTGCGCGCAAGGCGCGCTGCGGAGGAGACTGAGCGAGCTCAAGAGCTCGGCTATGGGGCGGGGCCCCGGACCAAAGTCTGGGCCCCAGGCCCCTGCACCGCTGCGATCTCCTGGGCCTGGGCTGTGCCTCTCTGGCGAGGGCGCGGACTTTGCCCAGTGCCCCTCGCCTCTGCCTCCCGTGGAGTCCTGGGGCGCGCCTTCCGGAGCCAAGGTCCCAGGCTCCACCACCAGCGCAGCCCTTCCGGAGGCTCTTCGCCCTGTGAGGCGGGACGGAAGCCCGGGCAAGCCGCGAGGAGCATGTAAGAAAATAAAGACAACCCACGGGGGCGCTCTCCCCGGGAAGAGGGAAAAAGAAAGCCATGTCCCGGGCTCGGATGAGAGAGGCGACCGGGGTCTGGACCTGTAGTCTCCATGACATTGCCGGCCTGAAGAGCTCGAAGGTCTCACACAGCCCCGGGCACCAGGAACCTGGAAAGGGCTCCTGGGGCGGTGAACAAGCACCCAGCCTCGGCCACCACCCGCCGGCCGGTCGCCCAGCCCTCACTCACCGAGCCCCCGAGTTTCCGTGCAGCCTGTCGCTAGGCGGACATGGCTAGGCGCTTCTCCTCCAGGGGCGCACGCAGCAGGCAGTCGGGACACTGACAAGGCGCAGCACTTGGGAGCCGAGGTTGACGGGGTTGGGGGTAGGGGTTATGCTCAACTGGGGCCGAATGCATCCTCCCCTCCGCCCCCTCCCCCAGCATCCAGCATAAAGGTTCCTGGAGATACACAAACGCGGACCCGGATTCTGAGCACCGAGCCTGAGCCTTGGGAAGGTGCCAGGGCAACCCTCAGAATGCACGCCTCCCATTGCTCCCGATTTCCCACACTGCCCGGAGTGAAGGCAGGGCACCCTTTGGGTTGCCTCGTGGGGGACATGGGTGAGTGCAGCCGCGGCCCTAAAGCTCTCCAGCCACTACTCCGCCCGCAGCCAAGGTTCACCCCCCACCTAGTCCAACAGGCGGGACTTCCGGACCTTGGGGGACGTGCTGCCTGCCCCACTGCGCCTAGGCTGAAAGAACAGGGAGGCCTCTGGGCCTCCCTTTGCTCAGGGAGTTGTTGCAGGACCGAAATTGCTTCATCAGAAGCAAGCCCTCCTGGCAGATTCGCGCTGTGGCACAACTGCAGGACCCAGCAGATGCCCTGGGGCCTGGTGGCACTGCCTTCTCCACAGGACAACTGAAGGGCCAAGGTCCTGGCCTCATGTGGCAACAGCTCCTGGAGGTGGGAGAGGGCGACCATGGCTCTTGCACTGGGAGACAATGGTCCTTGGAGGGGGGTGGAGTGGGGGACAACAAGGAAGTGGTCTGGCTCTGTGTGTGATCACGTCTGGGCACATGGCACGGGAGGGGGCCAGCGGGGCCAGTGTGAGCCCCCCTGTTTGAGGGACCAGGAACAGGGATAAGTCTGCGTGGAGCCCATATTTTCTGCACTCCCCCAGGGGTTCGAGAACAGTCTCTAGGACAGAGGAGGAGAGCGCCCACCGGTGGGTGAGAAGACCCAGGTGCAGGGGGTGGCTGCCTTTCCCCACACAGCAGGGACAGGGACAGGGACGACCCCATGGGGTTGGTGGAAAAAAGAAGGCCCTGCAGGCGATGGCTCAGGAGGTAGCGCATGGTGACAGAGGGAAGGGGGTTCTAACCTGACTGTCCCTGCGACCTTGGGCAGTAACCACAACAGTGGCTTGCATGACTGGCCCAGTGTGCCCTGCGTTACTCTCAGTCCTTCCCCAGGGAATCTCATCCAGCCCTCGAAGCAGTTCCGAGAGACGGGTACTAACACCACCCCATTTACAGGCGAGGGAGGACACGGAAGCCCAGGAAGGGAAAACTGGCCACCACCCAAAGGAGGACAGTGGGGCGGAACCAGGACCCACATCCGCGCCTCTCAGACCCCGAGCTTCGCTCCGTAATCACCTGCCATGCCTCCTGCTTCAATGTAGCAAATCGCTTAGCCTCTCCAGCCTCAGTGCCCATGTGAGTACAGACAGCTTCCAGCTCACAGTTCGGATTTAAAAATACTGTGGAATGAACGAGTGAACGAGGGAATGAAATCGCACCCCTGAGGGTAGTTGTGGGGACTGCACTAGAGAAAGGGCTTGCACACAGCAGCCGGCGCCAGGCATTTGGCCGCTGCAGTGCCAGGCCCGAGGGAGCACAGGCAGGCAGACACCTGGGGCCCTTCTGTCAGGAGCCCCTGCCCATTCTTCCTTTGCCTTCAGAGCCACCAAAATGCCGTGACCTGGGCAAGTGACGAGTGAAGGTGCTTTGGAGACACCAGTTCTGACAACTAGAGAACTGAACTAGCCAGATTCTTACCTGCTTTTCCATCCAGAGAGGCCGAACCCTATCCAGGCCTCACCTTTCCTTTTTAAGGCATTTTTGTGTGTGTACACAAGGGGGGTTTTAGGCCCCTCTACAAACCAAAGCCTGTCTCATCTCTCTCCAGCCCCACCGGGCGCGAGGACCCCAAGCCCATCCGTATGTCCTCTGGAACCCGTCCAGCACCCGGACGCACATGTACCCCTAACTTTCGAGCAAAGAGGGGCTTGGAGAAAGGGAACTACAGAGGTAGCACTGACAATGGACTTGGACCCCAGGATATGCTCTGGTCACAGCCCCACACACAGCTCTGAATCTGTGCAGGTCACCCTCTAACTGCACGGCCCCAAGGGGTCCTGCTTGACCTGTGGGTCCACCTTGTCCAGGAATGTGAATTAAAGAAAGGAAGAAGGATAACAGGGGCCTGGAATGTATATCTCAGCAGGAAGCGCAAGGAGCCGCCATTCTTCCTCACTGACCAGACAGAATCCACAGCGTGGACACTCCAGGTCACCAGAAAGCCCAGGCGCACTTGACAAACGCCATCTCCCCTGACTCAGAAGACGTAACAGGTTGTAGTAATTAATACAAGATGGTCAGGCCTCCTGTGGCCGCAGCCTGTCCCTGTAGGGGCGGTCTATTTCTTACACCCCTGAAGACAGGACTGTGGGGCACAGGGCCCTGGACTGGCACCAGCAGAAGAAAGGGATCTTCTGGGAAAGGGCCTTCTTCCTTATAACCTTGACTTCAGAGCACTGCTTGGCAGTGGGGGTGGGGTGACAGTGGATGGGCCTCGTGTGTGTGTGTGTGTGTGTGTGTGTGTGTGTGTGTGTGTGTGTGTTGCACAGGGGCGGGAGGCTGCTCCAGGGACCCCACCTCCCAATGACGAAGCCCCTGTGTGAACAGGCACAATTTTTAAGGCCTCACCTCTGAATAAGAAAGCCCAAGTTGACTCACCGGGTTGGTGAAGAAATCACCCCCAGATTAAAAACAGCAGACAAAGGTAAGAAGGCAGATGTTGTGCAAAGGGGAGAATTACTTCGAAGTGTCTAGTCATCACTGTGCCGTTGGGGTGTTTTCGCTGAACGTGGCTTTATGGTTCTGTTTATTCACCTAAAGCCGCTCTTTGGCTTACACGTCAAGTCAACTTCTTTCCTAACTGAGGTCAGAGAGGTCGGTTTATTCTTAGGAGTTATCTGCCTATGGATTGAGTGATCAATCGATAGATATTTAATACATATACATACATACATTATTTAGCTTTCATTTATCTAGTCCTTATTATACATGCTATACATTGTGTTTTGCAGACGTCACCTCATTCAATCCCCCTGCAGCTCTATGAAATCCCGAGTATTGCCCTGGCTGGTGTGGCTCAGTGGATTGAGTGAGGGCCTGCAAACCAAAGGGTCATCGGTTTGATTCCCAGTCAGGGCACATACCTGGGTTGCAGGCCAGGTCCCCAGTAGGGGGCGTGTGAGAGGCAACCACACCTTGTTTCTCTTCCTCTCTTCCTCCCTCCCTTCCCCTCTTCCTAAGAAGTGAGTAAATGAAATCTTTAAAAAACAAAGAAACCCCTAGTATTATGCCCATTTAGCAGGTGATAAACTGAGTCTCAGGGAGGCTTCAGTCCTGTATCCTTGTCTAACTAAGGTCACACAGCTTGTAAGTGACAGACCAGGGGTTTGGACCTGCGCTGTGTCCCAAAGGCAGGTGGCCCCAGAACATGGGGCCATGCTGATTGACAAAGGCAGTGGCCCGGGGAAACCCCTCTGTTTTTAACGGAATGAGGAAAAGCTCAACCTCGAGTGCAGGAGGCGGGACTTGCCGGGTCTGTTTGCCGCCAGCAGCTTTCGTAAATGCACATAACTGCTAATTCCCCTTCCTCCAGCTCAGGGGAATACAGGGCCACACCGACCATGGCCTGGGCTCCCAGCCTAAGGATTGCGGGAAGGACAAGGATCCCACCCCTGAACGATCCCCGGGAGCAGCAGCCCCCCCCCAAGGCTCCAGTCCTGGTTCCCGCCTCCCCAGTGCCCCTTCCTGGGAGACCCGGATGCTTAGCACGGCCCTCCGAGACTGTACTGCCCGCAACAGCTTCCTGGCTAGGAAACAAGGGCACTCACAGGAATTCTTTGCTGGATCTATGTCTCCCACATGCCTTGAAGGACTGCCTTGGGGGAGCAGCCGCTGTTGGCTCGTGGAGACCTGGAGGAGCAGAGAAGCAAAGCAGTTATGGAGATCAGACCACCTCCAGGGCCTTGAGGGCCAGGTGTGCGGGGAGGTGACCTGCGGGTATGTGGCGGGTCGGCCCGGGTATCCCTCATCAAGGTCTCTCTCCCAAGGGTGCTTCTGCAGAGCTAAGGCACTGTGGTCCCCAGGAAATGCCTGAGAGAGCCCGTGTCTTCCAGGGGCCCACGGTACCCCCAACAGAATGTGTAAACTTGCAAGGCAGGAGAGGGAGGGCAGACACGGGGCTGAGCAGAGGTGCTTGGCCCAGGTGCCCTGGGGTCCCTGGAGCCCAGGTTAGTCTGGTGCCTCGGTGGGGGGAGCGTCAAAGACAAGCGTGGCCTAGTCTGCAATTTTATCAGTTTTATCTAATCCCTCCTGCTTTGAAGAAAAAACAAGTTTGTGCTTTTCCAGTGAAGCCACCTATGCCTGCTCCACTGCTGGGAAACGTGTACACTTAGGACACGGAAGGGAGCCTGGCGTCTCTGGACAGACTACGGACAACGTTCGGGCTGTCGAGCAAGGTGCCCTTCCGACCACAAAGCGTCAACACCTTGTGTGTGGCAGGGCCTTCTGGGGGACATGGGACCCCCAGGTCATGGTCGAATCTTAGGGGACCTGGGAGTTTACAAAATGGAGAAACGTCAAACCTGGGCTAGAAAAATGCTTTTTGAACATTTAAATTAAAAAACAACAACACTCAGACATCGCCAATACAAAAGCATTGGACTATTGATGATAAACGATACAAAAAATCTGAAGGCCCTGGGTGGGGGGAGGTGGAAAGGGGTATATGGGGGATAAATGGTAATGGAAAAACACAATAAAAACTTAATTAAAAAAATAAAAAACTAAAAGCAAAATCTAATGGCCCTTTTCGAACATAAAGCTCAAGCAGAATGGCCTGCCCCCAGCAGAGTGACACTGAGGCAGATACCCCAAGAACGCAAGTGACAGGTATCGCAGGCAGAGCCGGAGCCGGGCCTGGACGGGCCGAGCGGTCAGGCACCCAAACTCAACTGATCTAGCAAAGGTCCGCATGTCCAGGACTCCACCAGGACTTGGTTCAAAGAGGAAGGAGGAGAAAAGGCAGAACTGGAACTGTCAGCACTGTCACCGAGAAGTGGCCCCTGCCCCTGGGTGCTTTGCCACCATGCTGTGCCGACAACAGCGAAATGCCACTGAGTTGTAAAGGCCAGGACTACACCTTTTACGGCTTGTACCTGCTCACAGCCCCATGACCATGCCGAGGGGGTGGTGCTCAAGAAGTATGTTGGGTCAAACCAAATGATCAAGAATTTGGGGGAAGCCCTAGCTGGTGTGGCTCAGTGGATTGGGCATCGTCTGGCAAAGTGAAAAGTCGCCAGTTCGATTCCCAGTCAGGGCACATTCCGGAGTTGCAGGCCAGGTCCCCAGTAGGGGGCACGAGAGAGGCAAGGCAATTGATGGATGTTTCTTTCCCTTTCTTTCTCCCTCCCCTCTCCTGTTGCTAAAAATAAATAAAATCTTTTTAAAAAAGAATTTTGGGGGAGATAAAATAATTTTACACCACCAGTGTAAAAAAAACAAAAACAAAAAACCTACACGCCTCTGTTGGCCCCATTTGTGGCCACCTGGTCAAGTGTCTGGGTTAACCTTCTCCACCCCTGTGACCTCGGCCTAAGCACCACGCACATCCTAACCAAGGCATCCAGCAGCTGCTCTGCCCTGCAGCGGTTCCGTCCACAAGCCTGCACGCCCACGGGCGCTTACAACACAGCCCTGAACTGGGGAACTAAGAAACTACCACCCCGGGGGTGATCCCGCAACCTGGAAACTGCATTTTACCGCAGAGAGAGGAGAGGGAGTCTCGAGATACAGGAAAATGGGCCGTCTTCTAGCTAATCCCAGTAATTCACCTTCTGGGTAGATGAAGGTCATGCGGACAGCTCATGTTAGTTTCAAGAGTATTCTGATTGGTCGTCGTACTCACAACACAAAATCGGCGTTAGGCTCACTGGGCACAGAGTGAGTTGAGACACTGAGTGGAAACCCCCCAGCAGAGGCAGACAGACAGACCACCAAGGGAGAGGCTGGTGGGAAAAGAATGAGACCAAATCCTGTGGCTGATCCACGTGGACGCGTGGCTGGATTTGCAACTGTCGCACTGTGACATTTCCCAAGCTTAGGGTGGGCCTGAGGCCAGATGTGAAACCCACCGGCAGCCTGGGGATCTAGCTAACGGACCAGAGTGTTCAGTTTAGCGTTGTGGGGTGGGCTGTCCCATCTGTCCTCTGCCACCCCATTTAAAGACAGCCCGCCTTCCCTGGGAACATTGTTAAATGTCCTCAGCTAACAGCTGTGTGAAGGACCAACCCAGCCTGTTCCAAAGCCGCAGCATACCTCACCGTGGCCTGTTCAGTAAGAGCTGTAAGAAGCCCAAGTGAAAGGTGGGGAGACCTAGGAGATGACAGGGATCTGAATGGCAGGGAATCTCTAAACAAACTTTCTGTTACTATTAGTCGAAACAGAATCTTGAAAAACTCCTCTGCCGCCGTTTGTACTTGGGATGGTGTAAAACCCAACACCCCATCCCGAAAACCACCCCGCCTGGAGCGGCTGCATTTCCTTGCCCTGTCCTCGGGCGCCCTCTGCTGGAGGAAGCCTAAATTACATCAGTAACCTGACAGCCACCAGACACAAGGGGCCCCAATTTCCCAGAAGGGAGAAGAGGGGCAACGACACAATCGCCAAGTTTTCTCCCCTTGGCACTTTGCCTAGTGAGAACTGTAAACCAGAGGTGCTGCATACCCGCTCAGAGGCAGAGCAGCTCTCAGCTCCCAGAGATGTGGGTGAGTTTTGCCCAAGGTTCACCTCCCGGTCCCCAATTTCCTTACCTTATCCTATTTCGCCTGAGACAGGGTGCCCGATGGGTCCAGCACTGGTGACTTCATCCTTGTCCCACATCAGAACATGGCCCAGGGACTCCCAGGTCTGCCCTGAGCGTCCCGTCTCCTTGGGCAAATCGGTTCCTCTCTGGGCCTCACTGTCCTCATTCTGGAGCTTGGGGCTTGGACCGGAAAACTCCTACGAAGCCTTCATCCTTGGGGCCAGAGTCCCCGTGCTGGAGAGAAAAGCCAGGTTCTGCCCGTCAGTCAGACCTGCAGAGAATGAGAACAGCTGAGAAGCTGCTGACTCTGCACCGTGCGGAAAGCAAAAACAGTGAATGGGGACCGGCCGTGGGCTGGGGTCTGCCCCTGGTGCCCGAGGCCCCCAGCAGCACCTTGGAACCTTTTCCCACTGTCCCCCACCTGCACCCCTGGGGGTCCTCATCTTCGGGGTTCTGGGTGCTGCTGCCTCCCCAGCCGAGCTCCGTCAGCGTCCCATTTCTAGTTGAAACCAGGCCCACCGTTTGTCCTCCTGACCCTCCCTTTTTCCCTGTACCTTTGTCCCTGCTGGAGCCGCCGGGACTCCAGGGCTGTAGTTGGCTGTGCTTGGAGGGTGCAGGCAGTCCCCTGGAGAGCTGCCTGTCCCTGTGTCCTTGGCAGGAAGTCTGGCAACTGCAGTGCTGTGACTGTCCCAGGCTGAGCTAGAAGGCTCCTGGTGTCAGTCCTGAGGCAGCCACAGGCCTGGGCAGGTCCCAAAAGCTGATGACATCAGCTCGGAGCAGGGTCCGCAATCCTCACGATCCCTGCCCATCTCCGCTGTCTCAACTCTGCCCAGCTCTGCCCACCTCTGTTCTCCCTCCCGGCGCAATGCAGGCTCCCAGGGCAGCCTCTGGGCTGGAGACATTCAAGGGAGTGACAGGAGGAAGCAGCCCCCCCTCCCCCCGTGCTGAGGCACTTCCCCCAGGTGTCCGGGGTCCAGGATGGGGAGAGACATCAGTCTCTGAACTGTCTCACCACCTCGAACGGCCCCAGAGGAGCAGGCGGCGCATGTGCACAGCGTGACATCACTTCCATCTTGCCAGGAGACAGGGTTTTTGCCAGGAACAGGCCCCTGGGGACAAGGCGGGCAGCATTTTCATGACACCGGCATAAATGAGGACCTGCACCGAAGGCTGCTATTCTGGGCAGACGGTGCTGCCTGGATGCCCTGGGTCTGCCCTCTCTGTCCCCAGGCCCCTGCTCCTGCCGCCTAAGGCCCTCCCAGCATCCGGGAGGGTCAGCGGCCACAGGACCCCACCCACGTTTGCTGGCTCAGCTCGTCCCTGCAGCAGAGGCTGGACTTCCTCCACGTCCAACTTTGACCTTCTGCGACCAACTCCGTGACACAGGGAATATACCGTCCCCCTCCTGCCTTAGTGCCTAATCTAGCCAGCCCAGTGCTGCCCCAGAAATCCGGACGGGGAGCATTCAAGGATGCGGTCCGGGAAGGTGCCTTTGCCCTCACCCAAAAGGATGCCTGAGTTGGGAGTCTCTTCCTTACCTGCCAATGGGAAAGGCAGCTTGACTTTCCGAATTGGCATCCACGATCCACGGGAAGGCTGAAGCTGGCCCCAGGCACAGCTCCCCTAGGCTCATCTCAAAGCCTCCTCGAACATCACGCCCCACACCTGGCCAGCGCTCGCTCTCGGCACCCAAGTGCCTGTGGCAGCAGATGCACGAGGCCGGCTGCCACAAGAGCCCTGCTCACCGGCCTCCCCACAGGAGCGGCTGCCTCTGGTCCCGGTCCTCAACTCCAACAGAGTCCAGTCGTGAAGAAAGGTTGTGTAAATAAAACCAGAGGCTCACTCACTGCACCAATCAGGGACTGGGTCCTGTCTCAGGCTGGCTGTGCGCAGCCGCCGGGAGGTGACCGTGGGGACACGCAGCGGAGGCGCCAGCCCGGAGCAGTGGTGCAGGGCCTCTGCACCCGCTGCTGCAGCCCCGCAGCCAGCACTGCTGACTTGGCCCCCGGCGGCCGGAGGGCGGGGGAGGGCCTGCAGCAGCTCGGGCTCCCACTGCCCCTGTGCAGGGCGACCTGGGGAACCCGCAGCAGGCAGCACTGGGCTGGCTGGGGCTGGGGCAATGGACGGGGTGGGAGAGGACAGGGCTGGAGAAGCCCTGAGTCAGCGCTGGTGCATTGTGAGGCTCCCGAGCCTTGGACTCAGACACGAGGGCCCCCTTGCCCCCATCCAACGCGCTGCTCCAGGCACAGCCCCGCACCTAACTCAGGGACCAGCGCAGCCTCCTTTCCCCCCTCAACCATTGCTGGGCAATGGTGCACCCTGCTGTGAGTCCTCTGGGGGATGGAATGACAGGGAATGCCTTTCAAAGACTAGCCCAGACCCTGTCATCCTCTGGATGTTGCTGGGGGCAGGCACAGGCTGTGGAGCTCTGACCCGTGGGCCAGGCAGGGGAGGATCTGTTCCTCACTCCCACCCTCCCGCAGCCCCTGGGCTACTGGGGGCGCTGGGGGGCACATGGTGATTGTCACCAGTTGCACTGAATGTTTCTCCTGGCAAAACCTGGGAAGTGCCTGGCCTTCCTGGTCCTGCCCCAGAGTGGACAGGGGCCTGCAGGGGCCAAGGCCCCCCACCTGACTGTCCCTAAAGGTCTGCTGTCACCTTGGCTGCTTCCTCCGGACTGCCTTGATGTAGCCACTGGCTGGACAGTGCTGTCAGAGGCCACTTGCAGTGACAAGCTTGTAGAAGCCCCTCTTTCAACTCCCATTGCCAGTGTGTGTAGCTCCTGTCACAAGCCCCAGGGAGGCCAGAGCGCTGGGCTCAGGGGTCACCTGCTCCCCCTCGGGGCACTCTGTGAAGTTTCTGTCTCACCTGAACTCCCACGGGGGACCAGAGACTTGTTAGGGGACATGGGTGGGAGGCTGGGGGCCAACGGCACCATTTGCTTGGCAGCCGTTGACACGGCTTGTCTCTCAGCTGATTCCAGAGCCAAAGGGGTTAATTCCCAGCAGAAGGGATGGATGCCTCTGTGTCACCCAGCCTGGGCAGGGACCCACCGAGCGACAGAAGACTTTGCCTGGACAGGCCAGCTCCCTTCCCTTGTCCCCCCAGGGTGGTGAGGCCACCCACACCGCCATTCCATGGATGATGGAAAACTCAGCCTGTGTCCAAACGGCAGCCCCCAGCAGCTTCCTGGCGGGGTGGGGGGGTGTGGGCAAGTTCTGCCTGACGCACAGATGAGGCTCCATCTCAGCCTCACTCGATGCTGACCTCAAAAGACCCTGGCATGTGGGACCCCATGACTCATCAAGCTAGAAACCCTCCACATTTAAGGATGTTAGTCCAGAAATACAAAGTTGCCGCACATCGTTTAAGGGGCTCTGCACACTTGCCCCGCAGAGCGTTAGCGGAGATGGCCTTAAATATACAGGGCGTGTGTGAACGGATAGAGCCCGACGGAGGGCGGTGAGGGACGGGATGGGTACTCTGAATTTGGGGGAGGAGGGCTGCTTCCGGTCTGCGGGATGGTGCGGTCTAGGACCCTCTGACACGTTTGCCCTCGAGCCTGCGTTTCCCCACGCGCCTGCGCTGGGTTGGCTGCGAGCACCCCTCACGCCCCAGCGGGCTCCAGCGCCAGCAGCCCTTTCCCCAGACGAGCCTTGAGTCTGGCTCCAGGCTGGCTCAGAGCGCCAGGCGGGAGCCCTGGGCGGTCATGGCACGTCGCCAGCCTCGGTCCCGTGGCCGGTTCAGGGGCCTGCCTGGGTAATTTGTATATTTACATCCAAGAGGTTTGCTGCACCTGAGAGGTAGAACTGATGTATGGTGCGATCTAATTTTTTTTTTTTTTTGTAAAAAGACACCTTTGTGCTTTTGGAGGAATTTTGAGGAGCTCAGCCCATCCAGTGCCTGGGACCACCTAGGCAGATGCCACCCTTGGCTCTGCACCACATCGCCCCCATCGCAGACCCTGGTCTGCGCACCCCACGCATCTGGGAGTTGCCCCAGACAGCCCCTGCTGAGGCGGCAACTGGCTTCGGGGCTGCCCTTGGGCTGGGTGGCAAGAGTCTGGCCTGGGAGACCCGGAAGGCCGGGGCTTAGGCTCCTGGCACCGGCCGTGCACTGGCCCAGAAAGAGCCCCTGCCCGGAGTGTGCTTCACGCAGCTTCTGTGCAGTCCCTGCTTCCATGAGCCCCTTCTGGAGCCCCCACAACTGCCTGGCACACGGGCAGCATCACGCAACACCCCCTGCTAGCCCCCAAGGGAGTTCGTCTCTTCCTGAACTCAGCAGCCTCTGCCCCTGCAGCCGAAAATCGTGGCTTCGAGTTTCCCTCCAAAGCTCATCTCAGGGAACCCGCAAGAATAAAAGCTCCACCCCCACTTAATAAGGCAGTGAAGGCTGCTGTGTCCGTGTCCCCAGGGTGCTAGCTGGGCTGCAAAGACCACAGCAGAGATCGAACCTCGTTCTGCAGCTGGATTTCCACACGCCTTAGGGAGCCAGTCAACCAGCCGGGAACACACACACCCAGGCAAGGACCCGGCTTAAACTCATCGGTAAGTCTGTGGGGTCCCCCGCCCCAAGCTTGTTTGTGGGAGGGAAACCGACCCAAAGCAAGGTCCTGATTGTGCTTTGGGTTTTGCAGGGTAGGGCTGAACACTCACTCCCCAGTCCCAGGTACCCAACAGGCTCACGGAGAGTGGGTCTCCCTCCTCCTCCTCCCCCTCCTCCCGCTTCTGCTGCTGCTGCTGCTGCTGCGGTTCTGCAGTCACTTGAAGGAGAAAGATTTCGCAGTACGGCATTCTTAAAGCTGCAGTGCCCAAATTCTCCTTCAAACCCCGCGTGTCACGGATGCCCGCTCACTTACCAGGGTCCTTTGCAGAAGGTCGGTGGGCAAGGAGAGGGAAGACTGGATCTCGGAGAAGCCAGGTGGCCGGGAATCCGAGGCTCAGACCCCAGCAAGGGCGAGGCGGAGAGGCCGCCCGCACCGTGGCAGGCTCTGCAGTTAACCGGGTTGCCGGACTGCAGCAGGGCTGCAATGGAGAATTATTATTTTTTTTAATCCTAACCAACCCCCACCTCCAATTTCCGCCACAAATTTAGATTCCTTAGTAGCTTAATTCAAATGCAAAGTGCAAACCCACACGACAAAGACACCCATCTGAAAACAAGAATTCGAGCAGCATTTTAGAATTATTTTGAGACATTGGCTCCTGTGAACTGACTCAGCTCTCCGCACCTCGCCGGCTGGAAAGCCAGGCAGGGACGGACCCGGAGGAAGTTCCCCGAGCCCAGAGTTTCTGCAAAGTGCAGGGAGAGGTTTGCAGCCTCTTAGTGGAGAAAGCGGCTTAAAACCCCAAGAAAAACTCGTCCTCCTGTCTGCCTAAGGGGGAGGGGGGACAAGCAGAGGCAGCCTCGGGGAACCCTCGTGCCCCTCCCCGAAAGTTACCTCTCTCCTCCGCTCGGCGGCTGCCGTCCTGCCCCGCTGCCGGCAAGTTGCAGAATGCTGCCGGGAGGCAGCCCCCGAAATCAGAAGTGTCAGCTGGGTGCCTGCACTGAAATGATGCCGGAGTCGACGCGGCAGGCCGGGCGGCGGGATGGTCTCCCCCCTCCCCCCACCCCCGCCGTTTAATGTAAACCCCTGACACTGCAAGATGCCTGCCCCTACTGAGGCACATCTCCGAAGGACCTCCTCCCTCCCCACACTTCCTCACAACCCGGTGCAGGGCTTTGCTCCACCTCCCACACTGGCTCACCTAAGATGCTTTTCTGACACAGAGACCGGGAGAGAGAGGGAGAGAGAGCCAGTGCGCGCGGGACTGCAGAAATTCTCAACTCCTTCCTTTCCGACACCACATTTCAGAGAAGGTGAGACTTCTTCAGAAGTTTGAGGATTGCCGCC